GGTTTGGCTGGGTTGCGGCTGGGCTAGCGTGTTGGGTTCGGAATAGAATGCCACCGGACCGGGCTTGGGCAGAAATGTTGGTGCTGTCCCCCCGCGTGCCGTGCGGTGCACGCATGCACGCGCGTTGTCTCTCCTGGGTTAGGAGGGCGCGCTCTCGTTGTCTCCCCGGATTGGGTGAAGTCTGAAAAAACCCTTAAACTCATACACCTTGACGGAATTGAACACCTTTCAATCCCTGAAATTTGCACCCTATACTCATCAATCTCGGTCAAGATCGACCCCAAACCTGTTTAGTGCACCAGGAAAAAATGATTCCGACCAGGATCAGAGGCTATTCTCACATCTATGCCCATTATCTTCATCCACTGACCAACCATGACAACGAGCCATGGCTGTGTGCAGGTCCTCGTCTCCTCGAGCTCGTAGCCTTGGTGCGCCCATAAAAAATCATGTTCGTCAGGCGTTGTTTGGATGCAGAGGTCGACGGCCTCGGACGTGTGGTACCCGCTGAGCTCGCCACCGGCGAGGAGTACCGACGACATGTCCGGCTACGCCAGCCCGTAGTTTTCGAGCTGCGCCTCACCAGGCCCGTCGAGCGTCCTTTCGACGACTATGTACTGGTTGGCAGTTGCAAGTGCATGCCTTGAGTAGCAGAATCGATCACTTGAGCTGTTCTAGGCACACGAATACATAACAACATGTGGCAGCAAGCTCTTGCATTGCATCGTCGTTGACCCACCATCAGTTGGATGGACAATGGATGCGTCCACAGTGCATGATTGCGTGTGAAGACTCGCACACGAGAGACACCACTTTGTACGCCGTGTTTTGGCCGCCATTACCGAGCATCTCCGCGGACGCGCGTAGCAGTTCGTCCCGGCGGTTCAGGTGCTCCAAAAAACCCAGCTTTCCTCTTCACTCTTCATTATTCTCTAAAAATTATAGCGCACGCTTGCCTCCCCCCTCCCCAGCTTTGCCATTTGCTCCTCCCGTAGCCACTAACAATCTCTCGAACAGTTAGTGTGCATGCACTCCCCTGCAGTTCACCTCGCCTCCGGGCTTGCTCCTACTGCCCTTGTGGATTCCCGGACTCTCATTCGCCTTACCGCATCATTGGATGAGCTCCAATCACTCTCTCTCTCTCTCCCCTATTTTCCCCTCCACTTCTCGCTCTAGGCCGCTGCTCTACGCCAGTGCACACCAAGCCGAACGCGTGCATGCCTCTCACCGTGCGGCATGGACTGCGCGAACGGCGACAAGACAAGCTCCCATGCACCCATTCTCTCGCCCTTCCCATCGCTACTCTGCCTAAACCTCAACCATTCTAAACGAACACCGTAGTTCTTGGCGAGAGAGAGAAATTACGGGAAGAAGATGGACATGACATGCGGACCCGTGAAGTCAGTGAGAGTAATGAATGATCCCGGCCGGGATCGTCATTTTCCTAGTGTGACAAACTAGCCCAGACAGACTTAGGGTTGAGATAGACCAGGATTAGTGAGTAGAGGGTGTCAATTTCAGGGATTTGAAGGTTGGGGTTTGATCCGATGAGCCCTATGAATTGAAGGTTTAAAACAGACTTTACTCCCCCGGATTTGTATCGGTGACGCTGTGCCGTGTAGTGCGGCCACGTACCGGAGTGGCAGTTCTTCGTGGCGACGCATGGCGGGTTTTCGTTTATGTGTCTTCTTAACTGAAGCACGGGGATCTTGAGAGGACGAGCCACCAAAGTGTGCATGACGACGGAGTACCGGTTACGGAGTTTGGTGTTGGTGCAGCGTTGCTTTTATTTGCGCGGAAATGCAAATCAGAGCAACTGCTTCCGGGCGCAGTTATGTGCAATGTAAGCAGAATCAGTATGTGCGACTTCTGTTAGAATAGGGTACGTAGAGGTAGTCAGATGAGATGTGTTTAAACTTGTTCTGTTTCTATCTCTTCTTCTGTTCTTCTTCTCCAAGTCTATCTCTCATTGTAATCTGGAAGTCCTAGCGATATTCCAAATCATTGTAAGCCACGGCAACACTTCTATAAATAGACATGCGGCCCGAGCAAAGGGTTTAACGCTTCCTATCAAATCTTTCATGGTCATCAGAGCCCTTCCTCTCGTTCGTCTAGTTTTCCCTGAGAGATCGATCTAGTTTGGTCGAGAGAGAAACCTGAAAAACCTATCCAGAGAGAGCCATCGAGAGAAAACATGTCAGGCACCAATGCCAGCACCGCTGCCTCCACCATCGTCGCCACCAATACCGCCCTGATTGGATCCACCATGAACGCCTCGTCCACCCAATCTGCACCATCCACCTATGCATCTTCTTCCACCTTCAGCAGCGTCTCTTCTCTCGGGTCTCCTCCATCTGAGAAGCTCACGAGGACGAACTTCCTCCTCTGGAAGGCCATCGTGCTACCCCAAATAAAGGGAGCACAGATGGAACACTTCCTTGACGCCGCAAGCCCGGCGCCTCCTCCTACCATCACCGTCACCAAAGAAGGGAAAGAGTAGCAAGTCTTCAACTACGCCCGGTCGATCTAGTACGCCCAGCAGCAACAGGTACAAGGATACCTTATGGGGTCTCTATCACGTGAGATTCTTGCGCAGGTCGCTACTCTTCAGACGCCAGCCGAGGTGTGGAGTGCCATCCACGCCTCCTTTGCTGCCCAGACGCAAGCACAGATCGTCAACACCTGCATCGCCCTCGCCAATCTGCACAAAGGGAGCATGGGCATGCCTGAGTATCTGGCAAAGATCAAGGCCTTCGCCGACGAGATTGACTGCACCGGTGATCCCCTCTCTGAAGGAGAGCTAACCTCCTATGTGCTCAAAGGGCTGGACATCGAGTATAACCCGGTGATCTCAGCCCTGGCTGCACGTATCGAACCGGTGACCGTTCAAGAACTCTACAATCAGTTGCTAAGTTTTGAAGCCCGTATGAATCTGCTACAAGGTAACAACATCCGCCAGTCTTCGGTTAATTCCATCTCTCGTGGTCGCGGCACTGGAGGCCGTGGCCGTGGTCACCGCGGTCACCAACAGGGGCGCGGACGCGGCAATGGCAACAACAGTGGGCGTGGGCGCGCCAACAACTCTGGCCCACGCTCCTCCGGCGCCTCCTACTCCAACACCAGGCCGCGTTGCCAGCTTTGCAAGAAGTCAGGGCATGAGGTGAAAGATTGCTGGCACCGCTACGATGAAGATTATGTGCCTGAAGAGCGTCATGTAGCTGCAGCCATCAGGGAGCAAGAAGAAGCTGGCGAAACCATCTGGTATGCAGATTCTGAAGCTACAGATCATGTCACTAGCGAATTGGAGAAGCTTGCAAACCGAGAGAGATATTATGGCAATGATCAGATAAACACCGCCGCAAGTGGAGGAGGTATGGATATATGTCACATTGGTCAATCTTCTATTAATTTCCCTAATGTTAAACGTGATCTTCTTCTAAAAGATGTTCTTCATGTCCCTCAAGCCAACAAAAATCTTGCTTCCATGTCTCGTTTGTCTGCTGATAATAATATCTTTTTTGAAACTCATCCCAAGTATTTTTTTCATTAAGGATCGGGCAACGAGGGAGCTCCTCCATCACGGTAGATGCGTCGGTGGTCTATACCCTATCACATCAAGAGCTTTTAGCCGCAAGCGTCATCGCCAAGTCTACTCCGTCGTCAAGCCATCCTTAGAGAGGTGGCATCAAAGATTAGGTCATCCTTCATTTAAAATAGTTGATCAAGTAGTGAATAAAGGCAATCTTAAATTGTCTAGTCGTGAAAATAAAGAGTCTGTTTGTGATGCTTGCCAATGTGCCAAGAGTCATCAACTCCCCTATCCTAGATCAAACAGTGTGTCTCATGCCCCGTTGGAACTGATATTCAGTGATGTATGGGGTCATGCCAGAGTTTCTTTTGGAAGAAAGAAATATTATGTTAGCTTTATTGATGATTATAGTAAGTTTACATGGATATACTTGCTTAAGTTCAAATCCGAAGTCTTCTCTGTCTTCCAAGAATTCCAAAAACTTGTTGAACGTCAATTTAACAAGAAAATCATTACAGTCCAGAGTGACTGGGGAGGAGAGTATGAAAAACTCAATTCTTTCTTTAGAAGCATAGGCATTGATCATCATGTTTCGTGTCCACATGCACACCAACAGAACGGTTCTGCTGAACGCAAACACCGTCATATCATTGAAGTAGGTCTTCCCTTCTTGCTCATGCATCTATGCCTCTAAAGTATTGGGATGAAGCATTTATTGCTGCCACCTATCTCATCAATCGTTTGCCTAGTAAAGTTATTGGGAACACAACTCCTTTAGAACGATTGTTTCATCAAAAGCCAGATTATGATTCTCTAAAAGTTTTTGGTTGTGCATGCTATCCTAATCTTCGTCCATACAATCGCCACAAACTCGAGTTTCGTTCTACTCAGTGTGTCTTTCTTGGCTATAGCAATCTTCATAA